TGTAATGGCTATTGTCTTGCTGATTGCCTGTCCCATTGCTTTCAAGACAATCTCCTTCACATGTTTGTCCTAACAAAATATCACAAAGATATCAATATAAATTCAAGATTTTGCAACTTTAGTGGAACAAAAGGAAAAACGAATCATAGAAGTAAAAAAAAAAAGATACAATACCGAATTGGAGAAATGGGGGAAAGAAGCTCAGTCCAAGGACTGAAGGGAAAGGGTCAAAAGCTCACACAAAGCTAGCACAAAATAGATAGTTGATTTCTTATTAAGCGAAGCATATAAGAACTCATACCAATATCTAGTAGCTAAAAGCCACCCTGAAGAAACCAGAAGTGCACCCAAACATCAAGAATAACAACAATGAAACAAATTAGTAACACCCCCAAACACGGTATATATCATTAAAAACTTACAAGAAGTCTGCTAGAACTCACTAATTTTCAACAAAAATGGTTGCTTGAGAATTGAACCCACCAAATGAAAGAGAACAAAATGGCACTCAATTTTCAAAATCAACGTACTAATCACCTAAAGCCCTTCAAAACAAGTCAAAAACACATCATTGGGAACCCATGCACCAAACAGCATAACACCAGCAGCCGAACTCCTCCATCAAACAAAACACTGAATCTAAACTACCCAGAAAATAAATCAAAACAAAAGGAGCGAAACAACAAGCATAATATGGGCAATCGATAGAAGACTGCCAATAAATAAGGAGGCAGAGAAAGAGAAGAACAATCCCAAAGACATAGAGAAAAACAGAAATGAAATGAAGGCAGAAATTGAGGGATACCTGAACCAGAGAGGTAGTATAGCTGATGTAGTTTCGAATAGGGCAGGAGTGGTTTGAGTGGCCGACGACGAGAAGGTGGAGAGCAGCGGCAGAGTCGATGATGGACGGACGATGGGGGCTTCATCGCCGTCGGTGAGAGAAGAGAGTGCAGAGGAAATTCAAATTGAAATTGAAATTCATGGGTTTGAGGGTGAAATTGAAATACACGATTTTTCTCCTTTTGAATTATCTGGGGGAAATGCATGTATTTAAGCCAAATTCAATTACCTTCTATTTAAGTTAAAACAAACAGTAATATTGAATTTGAAAGGTTCAAATTCAATTACACTGTATCAAATCCATGTTCCCAAACATACCATAAAGAAATTGAAATTTTATTAAATTAGTACTGAACAATCCATGTTCGCAATAATATTAACAGATAATTAGTAGACTTTTGATTAAATTAAATGCCTCTCTTTTGTCCTTTTAACAATCAACACCAAAGATTCAAAAGCAGAATACAGATAAAGTCTTACTCCAGATTTAATTGCTACAAAGAAGAATAAAATTTACCGGGGGAAGACTAAGAAATTCAACATTATAAATCAGAGAAGTGAGCACCAATAATAATAATGGAGAAACCTTAAGCAAGCAATTTCACAATTCTTTAAATAGAGGGACATACAGATCTTAATCGAACAAATTCACAATGAAGGAACATGGGCCTGAACCTTTAAGCTCCTTGCACATAATAACATTAAGTAGACAATTCTCTATAACTTCCTCTACTAACACAAACACATTTTTTTTCCAAGACAGAATCCCAGATCCCATGGTAGTTTAGAAAATAAAATAGGAGAAGCTACACTTGCATTGATCATCTCCATGAATCTAATTTAGCCATAATTTGTGGCAGACACAGCACCTTCTTCGGCCTTCTTGTATTCCTCTGCAGCCTGATTCTCTCCATACTCCTTGGCTGTGTCATAAGAGGCATGCAATCCAACTAGAAAATAGTATATCAACAGGATGGCAGTCCAGACAGCAAACCTTACAAAAGATGCACGGTCTATGGATCCAAGAAGAAAAACGTTGATAGCAATGGAAGCTGATGGCAACCAAGGAACCAATGGAACGCCCCACAGTTTTGGAGTCCTAGCCTGTGGAACAAGAACCTGCAGTGCCAAGGTAGCCAAGAACCAAATTGGCACTGTAATCGCATATGCAATCCAGTCATTTTCGCTACTTAGTGCCCAGTAAGCAGCAGTGACACCGGAAGACCCAAGAATGAACGCTGTGCAAATAATAAGTTTGTTTCTGTCTGCTGGTGTTGTCACCCCACTGACATAGTATCGGCGAACAAGGAGACCAGCAGCCACTAGCGTGAAGATGAATAATGTTGATATTGAGAGAAGATTGGCAAGAATATCAAGTTTAGTAAAGAAGGCGATGATTGCTGTGGCAGCAAGCATGACAATTGTGGCATTGATTGGGGTCCCTGTCTTTGGATGGATTTGAGCCAACCAGGGTGGCATCATGTGGGTACGAGCAATATGGGTGAGATATCTGGCTTGACCAACGGCACTGACAAGCAAAACAGTGGTCATGCCCTTCAATGCACCGGCAGCAACAATATACTTAGCCCAATTCATCCCTACAGCTTCGAATGCCACAGAAAATGGGGCATCCTCATTAATCTGCGGATATGGTTGCATTAAGCATAATACTATAGCAAGCAGACAGTATGCAGCAGTGGTAATCGTCATTGAGCCAACAAGACCAATAGGAATATCTCGTGCAGGGTTTTTGGTCTCTTCAGCCATTGTTGAGACAGCATCAAAACCGAGATATGCAAAGAAAAGCACAGCCGAAGACTTGAAAATGCCACGAACGCCGAAGGGAGCAAAAGGGGTGTAGTTTTTGGTGTCAGCTTTTGTAAAGCCAGCAATGATGATGAAGAGAATAACAGCTATGTGGATGATGGAAGCAATGTAATTGAAGCGCGAGGAGCCCTTGGTGCTGATGATTGTAATGATGCAGATAACAGTAATGACAACAATGGCAATGGGGTCCAGGTGACCATAATCATCAGGAAGGCTGCTCACATTGATGCGGAAATCATTAGCTTGGCGGTTGCAGAGGGTAGCAAAGTAGGAAGTCCATGATCGAGCTACGGCAGCACCACCAATGACATACTCGAGGAGAATGTTACCGGCAGCGATGAAGGCCACGAAGTTACCTAACTCTACTCTAAGGTACGCAAATGAGCCACCTGAAGGGAAAAAAAAAAGGTAAATTGTATTATTAAAAATTCTTCTTTCAAGATACTTTTTCAACTATTTAAATTAACAAGATATCCTAAAGAGTCAACGGTAATCTCTCTTCCTATACGCACTACGACGGCATATGGATGGATGATAAAGGGATAGCAGAAGGTTGTGAGTTATGACTCAAAACACACTTAGTAATCTAGATCTCATTTACAGGCCTTAAAATTTTTCTGAAAGGAAATAACCTAACAATGAAAATTCTCTTTTCCTCTTGGTATAAGATCATATAGATCACTATGCATTGAGGTTTAACCATTTGTGTATTCCAAAACTCGAGCTATCCCATATTTCAAAATTTGACCAAAATAATTTCTACTTTAAATTCTCGATTCAAATCAATTGACACATACAGACTGTTATTTTCTTTATTCCAACCAAACAGATGAGTGAAAATGGATAACAGTTATCTCGTATTCAGTTAAAACGGAGAAGAATCTAGCAGATCCATTCAAGCTCCGACTTTCCAGTTTCTACCATCCATTCTTATAACTATGACAATTATAATCTTAACGAAAAGAAAAAACAAAACCTATGACTGTTACAAGCATGGGTCAACCATCAATTAACGGTGACAGGTTTCTTACCACGGAAAACGTTTTGTATACGTTGCATGAGTGACAGACACGGTACGCCATGGCTCTAACATAAACATGCATGTGCAATGGTCTTTCAGACTCCAGCAACCCTATTACCCCCTCTTCCCCCCTTTACCCCCTTCCCTCTTCCATTCCCCTCACCAAAAAATGTTAAAATAATTGTATATTTCCAAAAATAATAATAATAATAGTAACAACTACAACATGCGTATGCAATAAAGCAAACAAGTCAACTTCCTCAGAAGGTGCCAGCCACTTGATGGACTACTTAATTCCATCTGACACGGGATATCCGATCTTCATCCAAAAGAAACCTACATCTTCTTTTACCATAGAATTGGAATGCTTAACTACTTTCATAATCGCCATTATATGCTAGACAATCTTATTCAGCAAAAGTGTGGAAAATTCAACTTTTACTAAGAAGAAAAACGTACCTGCAACTGGTATTTCCACGGCGAACTCGGTGTAACAGAAAACGGAAAGCATGGCGGAGATACCAGAGACAACGTACGATAGAACAACGGCAGGACCAGAAACTTCCTTGGCTTGGAGGCCAGTGAGGACGAAAATACCAGCGCCGATTACAGCGCCAATTCCGAACCAGATCAGGTCCCACCATGTGAGGTTCTTCTTCATCTCATGGTTGCTCCTGGCCTTGATCTCATGGAGCTCGGCGGTGTCCAGAGATCGGGTCAGGAGCCGGTCCATGAACCGGTGCGGAGTCTCACTAAGTGCTTTGACATAATTCCCCATGCTCTTGAAGGATTCCTCAGGGAGAAAATCGTCTTTCGTGCATGAGCACCCTCTCCGCCTCATCCCATCTTCACCTCCTGCTTCACCGCCCACGGCCATCCTGATTTTCAGCACACAAGATAATATTTAAAATTGGTAGTAGAGAAAATTGGAAAATTCTCTAAAATTACAATCTCATTATATCTTTCATTTTCCCGGAAACCAAACAGAATATAAAGAATCACAGAAGAAACGTACCTCAGGAACAGCTAAAACACGGTGGATTTGGAAAACCAAAAACAGAGTCGAGAAATCTTATATGGAGCGTCAAAAGGCTGAGGATACTAAGACAACGAGTTTGCATTCCCTTTTATAGAAAACAAGGACGTAAATACAAACTCTCTTAGTCAAGAACAATAATGTAACATCCAAATCACCTCAATTGACAAGTTGAAACAATCATCCTTTACGCAACCACAACAACGAAACTGAAATTTTTTTCAAAAAAAATGATGGAAGTATTAAATTAATACAAAACAATCAGTAATTTTTTAAAAAATAAAAACAGATCATCAGAAAATTCCAGGGTTAAGCTTGAGGAAAAGAAAGAACAAACCAAAGATTCAAGCAAAATACAGATGAAGACCGGATTGATTCCACAGATTCAACTGGTGAAAAGAAGAATGAAAATCTACAATAATTTGAAACTACTGAATCAATACATGAGCTGTTAAGAAAAAAAAAAAAGAAAGGAAACAATGAATCACAGCAGATTATACATTAAATGCGAGAACTTTGCTTTCCAGATAAAAAAAAAAGGAAAAAAAAAAAAAGAGATTCAGGACAAATACAGAGACATAAAAGTTAGAAACCTGGTTTTCTGGAGATTCCGCTGGAGACGTTGAGAAAGAAGATGAAGGCACAAGATGCGGTCGGTAACCCGCCGAGGAGAAGAAATGGTTTTTTTTTTTTTTCCTATTTTTTTTGGTAATGAGAAGAAGATGTTACTTAAATGATTGGGGGGAGGGAATGAGTGAGTGTGAATTTATAAGGCGCCTGGTTCATTTTATTGGTGGAATCTTTTCTTCACTGTTAGAATCCGGTCCTTAATCAGAGTTGGATTCCAAGGCAACAATGAAAAAGGCAAATTATCAGAAAAAAAAGGAAAGTTATTTAAAAAGAAAAGGAAAAAGGCAAAATGGGCAAATGAGCCCTTCTACTCGGGTTTTTTTTTTCATTAATCCCTCGAAACGAGAAATTTTATTACGGTTGATTTTTATTCACAAAATTTAAATTAAAAGTTTTATTTAAATTTTTTTTTACTTTTTTAACTTAAATGATCCTGTAATTGTAGTCCTTTAACCCAATAAATAGTGGCAATTCCGCCCCTTATTGCGCATGTGACGTCGAGAGCACGTTAAATCACACGAGACTTCACTTTTGCGTGTGCTATAATCGACGCTGACGTGCAACTCTCCCGTGTGGTCCAATAGATG